AAAAGTAAGGATAATTGAGTATTTTTACAGGAAAAACTTAGCAAAAGAGAAAAATGTAGCAAACTTTTAAATACATCTTTAAAAAGAAAGTGTGGCAAATTTTTTAAATACATAGGAGTATGTTAAAATATACTCCATCGATCTTTCTCATTTTATCTGTCTTACTTTCATTTTTGGATTGTCCCAAAATAAGTGTCTCATTTCCTTTTTTGGAAAGAAATATGTGACCTACATCATTTCACTTTATTATACTCAAACTTCAATCACTACATTTACTTTTTCAACCACTTCATTAAAATCGTGTCAAGTCAAATTAAGATACATAAAATGGGACGGAGGTAATAGTATAAAAATTAAAAATAAACGGTAATCATTTTTTGACAGCACTCAAATAATTAAAGATATTTTGATACATATTGCATTTTGAATTATTCCAAAAAATGATTCGATATATACTTTGTCAACTAGGTCACATTTAGTATGTTACTAGGTAACTTTTTTGTCGACCACTTTTATTTATGTTATACATTTGGAATTACTTCTAATAATGTTTTATAAGTATATTTGTTATATATATATATATATATATATATATATATATAGAGTACTCTTCCGATCAGGAATTCCTGACCGGAACCGCCGTCCGGACGGCGGCGTTTGGACGCCTTCCGGGTGGAATTTTTCAATGCCATTTTTATGACATGTTCTCCATCAAGTCTAGTTTATCCACGAAAAAATTCAGCCAAAAACTCATTCGGGAAGGTCGTCAAATGATTTTTGCAAGTTAACTGGTCCGGAAAATACATATTCCGGACCAGTTAACTTGCAAAAATCATTTGACGACCTTCCCGATTGAGTTTTTGGCTGAATTGTTTTGTGGATAAACTAGACTTGATGGAGAACATTCCATAAAAATTTCATCAAAAAATTCCACCGGGAAGGCGGCCAAACACCGCCGTCCGGACGGCGGTTCCTGTCCGGAATTCCGGACATGAACTTTTGTGTGTATATATATATATATATATATATAGGGGTGAGATCACATACTAACCATTCCTCCCATGCTAACCTACAAACTATCAAAAACGGTGCATCTTTACATTATTTGTACTGCATATTGAAGTTCAAAGTGTTGCATATTATTTGTACTGCATATTAAAGTTCAAAGTTTTGCATATTGTTTTTATTGCATATTGAAATTCACAGTGTGCATCTTTACATTATTTGTACTGCATATTGAAGTTTAATGTGTTGCATATTATTGAGTTAGTAAGTTTAGTATTTTAAGCATGGTTAGTATGTGATCTCTTATATATATATATATATATATATATATATATATATATATATATATATATATATATATATATATAGGGAACTCTTCCGGTAAGGTATACCTTACGAGAGCCTCCGTGCGGCCTCCACGTTTTGAGGGCCTTCCCGGTGGAATTTTTCGATGAAATTTTTTGAGCATGTTCTTCATCAAGTCTAGTACATCCATACCAAATTTCAGCAAAAAAATCAATCGGGAAGGCAGTCAAATGATTTGTGGAAGATAACTGCACCGTTTATATACCTATAAAACGCAGTTATCTTTCAAAAATCGTTTGGCTGCCTTCCCGATTGAATTTTTTGCTAAAATTTGGTATGGATGTACTACACTTGATGACGAACATTCTCAAAAAAATTCATCGAAAAATTCCACCGGGAAGGCCCTCAAAACGTTGAGGCCGCACGGCGGCTCCGGTAAGGTATACCTTACCGGAGCGATTTCCTATATATATATATATATATATATATATATATATATATATATATATATATAGAGGACTGCTCAGGTCCCTCCGAAGGGCAGTCAAATAAATTCTTGAAACTTACTGCACTTTATATATGCGCAGAATGTGCAGTAAGCTTCAAGAATTTGTTTGACTGCCTTCCCGGTTGAATTTTGAGCTGAAATTTAGTATGGACAAACTAGAATTGATGAGGAACATGCTCAAAAAATTTCATCAAAAAATTCCACCGGGAACCACCCCAAACAGTAAAGTTCGGACGGTCCCTCCCGTCCCTCCGGAGGGACCTGATCTTTTCTGTGTGTGTATATATATATATATATATATATATATATATATATGTTAATAACTTTAACATTTTTCAAATATATCATATACATTTCTTAAATAATGTATAACTCATATTTTTAGTCTTTCAAATAATGCTCACACCGAAATGTAGGTCTGGTATTTTCAAGTGTGAAATGTCACTCTCACTTGGATGAATTGTGATGTGACATTTAAATGTAACTCACACTAGTACCGGTTCAATTTGATAAACGCGGAGTGTGACACATTCAAATATTGAATGAAAAAAGGTACAAATATATCCATGTAGTATGGATGTAAGAACGAATATACTTCTGTTCTATTTTCGGAACAAATATACCCCTGAGGTATGTATAGAAATGCATATGTATCCCTAAACTTTTAAAGTGTGAAAAAATACTCCTTATATGCATATAAAAGAGCAAATTTACCCTTATTGACTTTAAATTGATAAAATAAACTTCAAAGAACACTAAAAATAAATTATATATTTGAAATTAAAAAATAAAAAATTTTAAAAATGTACTTGTGTCCAATTCTCTCTTTTATTGTTTGTATATCACAATTTAATATTGTCAGCATAAAATCTTATTTCAAAACATTACTATATGTTTAAGATTATTTCTAAAAAATGTTAACATATTCATTGCATGTAAAAATATATTAATTTTTTGCATTCTTTGCAATATGAAATTGCATATTTTGGACGATGATAAATAGTCCAAGATTAGAAAATAGTGAATCTAATTTTATTAAGGTTAAACAAAATCAAAGAATGTTATTTCAGAAAATGTAACAATGTTATTGAAGTGCTTCATTTACAATGAAAAAATAATAATTTTGCAATTTAAAATTAAAGAGTTAATATTTTAATGTAATAAGAAATCTTTGTTTTTCAATTTCAAATTTATAATACAAGTTATTCTAATTCTCTCTCTAGGGTTACCGCCGCTAGAGCTTTTCTTCCGTTTTTGACTTAGTCGAAGTACGGACGCCGTCTCTAGGTGGATTCGTTATCATTTTGGAAGCATCGCTGAGAGTTTGGACGTAATTGTTGATAGGTCAGTGCACGCAGGAGGGGAATTGCATTGGAACGGCCGTAAACTCCTCTTCATAGGAGTCTACCATTTTGTTACTTTGATTCGTTGGCAAAGGCGGAGTTTGTGCTGCGATCCAAAGACGTTTATAGATTTTATTTCTGAATGATAGAGTTCTTCTGCACCTCGGACATGGATTTCAATGGCAAATCTCAAGGGGCAAATTGGCGAGAGCAAATTAGCGAGCGCAAGAAGGATAGGGTTTGTGATGAACTTTCCCGAGATTGAAATTCTCTTCTACCATACTACAACAGCTCGCCCTCCTTCGGAACCACCTCCGTGCAATGGCGGACCTGTGGAGGTGCTCGTGAAGATGGAGAGAAATTATTATTTTTCTGCTTGTTATTTTGTCATTTTATTTAATCAGTCTTATTTTTGTGTTGTCGTTATTTTTTATTGTAAGACTCTTGCATTAACATCGGGTAAGATCTGGTCTACTTCAATCGTCTGTGGCTCAGGTTTGCCCGTCAATGGATCAGTGAGTTATATTACGTGTTTGAAGGTGATTAACTCCAAGTCTGGTTCGAGGGCTGACAGTTGTCTGTGATTCCTTACTTATTTTACTTTCTTTCTGAAGGCTAATGCTTTGATTTCAATATAAGCCCCCCTCTTGAAAAAAAATGAATTTATAATTTATTTTTGGTATTTTTTATATTTATTTTATTTATTTAAAGTCAATAAGGGTAAATTTGCTACTTTATAAGAACATGAGAGGTATTTTTGCACGTTTAAAAAGTTCAGGGGTATATATCTACTTCAACATATACCTCAGGGTATATTTGTTCGGAAAAATAGAACAAATGTATATTTGTTATTACACTCATACTAGAAGAGTATATTTGTACCTTTTCCCAATATTGAATTGCTTGGCATGGAAGGCGCATGGTGGATTCCCAAAGTCTATATCAGAATTATCCAGCTTTTCGAGGTATGGGTCATGCCAAAATCACCAATGAAATACGATAGTACGAGGGATGATGATTCGAGTAAATTAGTAGTGAACACAAAAAATTACCATCTACCTCTATATAAAAAGAGGTGGAAAACAGGCTGTTTTCCCGCCTAAATTTTTGTTCTAAAATGGGTCATGTTATATGATTGGGTCGGGTTGCTTAATTAACTGGGTCCAAGAAATTAGATGGACTGCACGAGGTGTCACATTATCTTTTATTATACAAAAGCAAAATAAAGACTGCACAGTGTTCCCGCCCAAACACTGTGCAGTAATGGGCCGGGCCTGTTAAAATGGGTTCAAAAACGGGTCATGCTGCATCTGTTTTTTGCTGCTCAGTGATTTTAAATGTTGGCCCAGTCACCAATGCAGTTTTAGTAGCTCAAGAAAAGGCTCAATGAAATAATGTTGAATGGAGTGCTGCAATTGTAATAAAAAATGGTTGCGACTGTGTGGCTCAAGAAAAAAGTTGGGTGGCTCAAGGAAATAAATGTGGCGTGTATTGAGCTGTAACTTTTTCGGCCTGTGCAATTGATGGGACTGCTTTGCACAACGGACCAATGAATTGCTCTTTGAATAAGAAGTATTGAGCTGGCATGTAAACAAACAAATCAATTTTGAAGATCTGGTAGTACGATTTTTCAGATCTAAATATGTTTTAAATTTAAATTTAATATATGGTTGATATGACTCTGCAGTGAGTTGTCTATTCACACATCATGTCATCAAAAAAATGGACAATACATACTATTAACCTTTGGTTAACAGAGGATAGTATAAAAGGCACACTGCCGATTTAAGTATAAATACAACCGGGATTCAAGAGCATTACACATCAATGCAATTGCATAGAGAGGGAGAGTTAAACCTTGAATGGGCCATTGAGGTTGCCCTATTACAACTCTTTTAATATATTAAGATGCAGATATTTCATGTGCATACATATGCATTTACTAATGTCGATGGAGATGACATACATATGCATCATCAGCTAACACTCTATAGATATTCCATCACAGGGATGTGTAAGCCTTATAAGATGTCTTTGTAAATTCAGATATGTTAATTAGTAATTCGTTATTTTTTGCAGGTAATATACATTCTAAAAATGATTGGGAAAGACGAATTCCACAACAAGCACTCAGAACAGAAGAATTATTTGAATCCACGGTTTATGCATAGTATTTGAAAAATGAAAAATATATTATTCCATATAATTTAGAGTTCTCAAAAGTGCTAATAAATTATTTTAGCTTTTTGTGTTAGATTATTAGCCTAAAAGTAGAAATATTTTAAACAAACAAGAGTCACTGAAAAAATAAACATATTTTCATACCTGCCATTGAAGCTCCTCAAAACTTTTAACCTGCATATCCTATTTTAATCTAATTAAATAGTACATGATTGGCAACCTTATTAAGGTCCCATAACCTATTAATTATACATTTTCTATTCTATGATCTAATAACTGAAAATAAGAAAAAGACATCTTGGTAACGAAACCTGCAAGATTTATGGTGAATAAGATGACAGAATAAGAAAACTTTAATTACAATATTTCTAATTGTTAATCTGTATTTTTAATGCTCCACAAATTTATTACCGAAAACTAGAAATAGTACAATCAAGTTTTAGTATCAAGGAAGAAATAATTATATTATAAAATATCAACTATGAATACATAAAACTCTATGGAGGTAAATACCATGAGGTTATTAGTTATTAGATTTACATATTTTGTTTTCAATGTCTATAAAAATAGGTCAGTGGTTATTGTTGGCATAAGATCAGAAAACGAACATATTGAAACCAACAATATTTTTTTGAATAACACAAATCTAATAAGCCTTGGCCAGATTGTGGAAAAATGTGTAGCCATTTTAGGAAAATGGCATACGAGTTATATCTTATTGATTTTACATATTCCAGGTTTGAAAAGCTCAAATAATTTTGAAAGCTGGTAATGGTCTGTGGGGGCATAGTTTAAACTAATTTTGTTCTCTTAATCAAGTTAGTTATAACAAGGTTCTAATAAAACTGAATTATAAGAAAGGATGATTTGTTTCCAACATTACAAATTGAAAAATGTTTTTACCAACAATTGTTAATAAAAACTTTTAATTGGGCCTTAATAGGGCAACTAAAGTTCACAGAAGGTTTGTATCAACTAAAAAATGTCTAAATTATTTTTTTCAAAAACATGAGAAAGTAAACACCTTTTTTATAAAAAAAAATATTAGACTTTATAACCTCATACCACCTTTAAGAGGAGTTGATGAACACTTAGAAGCATGTTTCATTAAATATCATAGAATAGGACATACACATGTTTAAACGTATAAATCATTTAACACAAAATACATAGTGTGTTAAATCCAGATATTCACAACTGTTTGCATTTTAAAACCAATGGGTATACATAATTTTCACACGTTTATATAATTTAAAGATCTGGGTAGATTTATATATCCATAAGCAAGAATATATGGGTTAAATACGTAAAACTGTTAAAGATGTTTTTGTTGAAATAATACAGATTTAATATACCACACAAATCAGTAAATCATGTACGTTTATGCCAACTGGATGCCTTAAAATAGCTATGATTTGATTCCCAGATAAGGTAATAAAAACAGATTAAATTCTTTTTATAAAAGTTATGCTTTTAAAATTATGAGTCAAGTAGAATGTATGACATAGATACTGCATATCTCACTTTCAAGATATATGAGTATACATATGTCACTTATGTCATACATATTTACTTTTCGGACCATATTTGCCATGTTTTGAGTATCTATGTTAATAAAAACAGATATAATCTGTACATCAATAGAATCATGCCACGGAAAGATAGATTCGGAAATTTTTTGTTGTTTTAAAATAGTCAAGCGGACAAACCAAGATCAAATTGAAAACCATTTTCGAAAAAAACAAGGTCAAACATGATACAAACATAATAAATGGTAAACATGCGAACAAGGGCAAAGATGGATGTAAAGGAGATACCCAAAACAGTAGGCTATTGTAAGTTATGGTCTCAGATCCATCTATTTGCTCTCAGCCGGGCATATAAGGGGCTAACCAACAACAAATATAGAACCAACCACATTATTGAGCCATCAAAAAGGTCAGATAAGAGGATAACAACTATGGCTTTGAGATGGTCGGATAAGGGGCCAAACCAACAACAATCACATGGCTCTAAGAAGAAAAATCGAGTGGAAAGTCATGAAGGCCATATCGAGAGGTTATCACCTGGTCTGGTGGGGTGTGTTGTGTACGAATGAAAGAAACGGCGGAAGGTAAATACGATGTACATATAGTGGTAGTTAGGTTAAATAGTTGGGTGGGTTTAAATGGAAATATAAGTTGGGCTGGGCTCATGGGTTAATAAAACAAATGGCCTCGACTTCCAAAATTAAGACTTACGGAGTATTAGTTGGTAATTTCGTATTAGTTAGTTGTATTTGCTCAAATGAAATATTTATTTGGAGCCCGTTTGGTGACTCTGTTTTTTGACTTATCAGGCTTATCAATACGTAACTTTTGATTTCACGCGTTGAATTTTGTAATAATAATAAAAATTAAGGATGAAGTTACTTTTCTGGCTATATTGACCGAAGTTACTGTAGATGACCATTTTTGCTATTTGTTCATGTAATTTTTCTTTATTTTATTAATAAAGTATAATTTAAATATAATTTTTTTCAGAAATCAACAAAATCAACCAATACAACCACTTTAACATAATTTCTTCAATTCAAATATAAAAAGTACATGGTATTTGACAAACAAGTAAGGTTGTCCAGCTTCTCTTTAATATGTGTTAGCTTCACATTTTGTCTGATTGTCTGATTTTTCGAGTGCTTTGAAAATATTGATTTACAGTGAATATGGCAAACAAATTGACCATACTATGAATGTGGGTTGTAAAGAATTGTTTCGAAATATGTAGACTTCGGAAACCTTATTATAATTTTTATTTCTTCTTATCCCAAAACATACTTCGTACCAGTTATGATTTGTAACTACTTTTTGCTTCATTAAAATTTTATTTGTGTATTATGTCTACTAATTACATCCACTTACATGTTACTAATAATGTTAAGAAATACTACCCCGTATCATAAGAATATGACTTAATTTATGCCCCGTGCATCGCACGGGTGAGAATCTAGTTACATTAAAATGACTAAAAATCTTTGAGGACAGAGGCCTTTGTTACTGGATGTCTTTAATTGCAAGATCACATTAAATAGAGTTGGCATTTATCTTAAAACCATTTTAGGACATTCCGTATTGTTGTAGTGCACTAGATCATTCTTTATGGAGAATTCTGGATAAAACACGTTCTGGGTCGACGAATATTTAATGCTCTGAAGCCGCCGTTTCCAGTTTTACATATCTCAGTGCATGTTTTGTCTGCCTTTTAATATTCCAACGCCAATATAATACAAATAAGGATGTTCACAATGCTGAATTATTCCAATTCTAATTCTATTCTAATTCGTTGAATTAGAAAAAGCATTACATGCTACAGCCCAACGTTTCCAACTTTACGATTTTCAACATATTTTTTCGTTTATCAGTTCATGTTTTATATTAATTGTCACTACCTATTAAATTAGTTATTTTTTTTGGCATAGTAACTGTATTTGAGAGTTCCGAAGCTATCTTTACCTATTCGTATTCCACTTTGTGTATCTGTATATATATAGCTTCAGTGTCCAGGGCCAATGTTCACACATGCAAATAACATGCTTATTTCTGTAGTGCAGAATTTTGCCATTTTTATATGACGATATGAAGGCATGCATATGTGGAGTTCGATTAAGGACTCACTCAAGAGAAGCAACGTTTCACATCTTCATGTATGGATCACAATTCATGTGTCTTTGGTTGTCATATATATAAAACTCATTGAGATATCATGTACATGAAAATGAAGCTAATTTTTTGAAGAAAAAAATCTGAAAAGTGCATGTACTTATATATCTGGCTATCTGCGTTTCGACCGACTTAGAGAGAAATTACTCGGGAGGTTGGCTGGAGACACAGAAGATGCTCGAAGTTAGAAGACAAAAGGGCTGAGTATGTTGGCTGGAGAAACCTGGGCAAGATCCTTAGTACGTAGTACTCCCTCCGTACCAAATTGTTTTGCAAAGTCAACATTTTTTGGTCAACCAATAATAAAAGTCAATGCTCTGTATGTATAATTAATTCAATTTTTAATAATTAAATTTTACATATTCATAAACTACATTAAAATCTCTTCAAAGTTGTAAACTCCAAATTAAAATATAATTAAAAATTGACACCCTAATTAAGTGAACAAAACGAAACTGTTTGACCAAGAAAAGTCAAATTTGCAAATCAATTTGGGACGGAGGTAGTATAATTTATATGAAGACACGAAGTACTTCCTATATATGAATAGTGTTCGGTTATTTCTAATGGGCTCCTTATGTTATAGACCAACAATGCTTTTTGGAGTTTTTAATATATCAGCTCGCAGACAATATGCTACTTTAAATTAGTTGGATGAACACTTCTATATATATTTTGTTTTTTATTCCTAAATAGATATTATGCCATACATTTTGAATGATGAGGTATTTAGGACTACATATGCATTTTACTCTCTCGCTGTCTCATTTTATCTACTTTAATTTTCTTTTTGAATTATCTCAAAATAGATGTCATAATTCTTTTTTGGAAAAAATATGTGATCTACAATATTTCACTTTAATAATAATTATTTATAATTAAAGTATGACACATAAATGGAATGAGGTAGTACATTTCTTAGAACTTTTTTAAATGATGATGAGTTTTTTTGTTAACAAATTTGATTTACAAATTTTGTAGAATTGGTAATAATTTTCATTTTGAGCCTCCCAAAAGATCTCGCACTTTACCGGTGTTGCTATTACAAATGATACTCCCTCCGTATTTTAATGTTCACTACATTTGATATGGCACATTATTTAAGGAGTAGAGTATTAGGGGTAATGAATACCCTAGAAAAAGTATGACCAGAATGTGTATAAATATGAAATCGAAGATAAAAAATAGAAAAAATAAAGGTGGTTGAGTATTTTATAAAGGGTAAACTTACAAAAAATGGAAGTGTAGTAAACTTTTAAATTCATCCCAAAAAAGAAAGTATAGCAAACATTAAAATAAGAAGGGAGTATCATATAATGATTTTCTTACTAACTTAATTTTCCAAAAAAAATTAATTTTTAATTTCAGATTCAAGTTTTTATCAATATATCAAAGTATTTGCTTATAAGTTGTTCAATTTTTTTCCTTAATAGGGTCTAACCGTCTAAGAAGATTAAACTAGAATTATTAAGATTTGAAAAGGAAGATAGCTAGCTTCCATATTTAAGAAGCAAGGTAATCAAGTCAGAGACAATCTCTTTCTCACTACACGTTATATTATTGTTGCCGAAGCAAGTCTTTGATCCTGGACAATTTTATGCTGCAGTTTTCAGGGGTTACAAACTTGAAAGGATAGAAAATTTTAATTGTAGACATGAAAAAAAAGAGGGGGGAATTTGACTTTGCACCCCACTTTTTGGGTGATATTGGACTTTACACCTTATTTTGAAAAAACTTTGATTTTGCACCCCAACACATAACATTTTGTGAAGAAAAATTAATGAGGGGGTGCAAAGTCAAAGGATTTTTAAGTGAATTGGGGTGCAAATTCAAAGTTTTTTTAAAATGGGGCGCAAAGTTCAATATCACCCAAAAACTGGGGTGCAAAGTCAAATTCTCCCTAAAAAAACTACAAATGAGTTAATAAGTGTTATGTATAAAGAAGTGTTTCAATATCCTTAAATTTTGTATGTTATTTTTTGTTCTCAAAATTTTCAAAGTGTGTTATTTAGAGATTTTAATTGTCTTATTTTCATTTTTACATTTACATATTACTTGGGTTAAATATTTTGGCCGTGAATCGCACGGGTGGGAATCACTACAAAAAAACACTCGTTTAGTCACGGACCGTAGTCACGGATTTGGTCCGTGACTAGCCTAGTCACGGACTAGTCACGAAAATTTAAAAAAAAAATAGTCACGGATTTGACCGTGACTACAGCCGTGACTACACGTAGTCACGGCTTTTTGTCCGTGACTAACATCCTCCGATTGCCGGTTTGTTTTTCCGACCTGGCTTGTTTTACTCCGGCGACATAGTCACAGCCACATCCGTGACTACAGCCGTGACTAAATTTAAAATTTAATTTTTTCACCTTCCTTAACTTAATTCGCAACGGTATTATGTACGGATAACTTTAGTCACGGCCATGTCCGTGACTAGTTCCGTGACTACTTTGATTAACACGTCATTTACACGTCATTACACGGATCGGACGCGTAATGGACACGGTTTTGCTTAGTGACGGACAAATCCGTGACTAAGTCCGTGACTACATTTTTTATATATGCAGGAGCAGCTCATTCATTCAACAGAACCACACGAATTCATTCCCAGTATATACAGTATCTGTTTGAAAGATCGAAGGATGTAGTCTGTCTTCTATCATTTTCCCCATTTATGCAGTTAAGGTATGTTATTTGAATTATTATTTTTATTTAGAATTAGTTGGTTCAATTTAAATTATTAAAATTATTAAATTAGTGATGTTGTTAATTAATTAACAACATATTCAACTGTAAGCGTAGTAATGTCATAAAATTAGTTAAACTGTTAGGTTTATAAAATAATTTAATTAAAATTAGTTAGCTAAACGTAGTTTTAAACGTAGTGATCTTTATGTTAAGTGAAATTAGTTAGTTAAACGTACGTTAGTAATGTGTTAATTAAGTGTATTGTGAATTGTTATTGTAATTGTGTATTATTTATTAATTCAAATGACCTTATATACATGTTCAAATTATTGGGTTTAATTTGGTCATATTATTTAATTTAGTGAATTGGAATTGTTAATTGTGTAGTACTAATAACATTAAATGTCATTAACGTAATAATTTAGTGTAGGTTTAAATGTAGGTTTACAAAAATAATTTAATTAAAATTCGTTAGCTAAACGTAGGTTTAAACGTAGCTAGTGATGTGTTAATTATGTTATATTAGTTAGCTAAACGTGGGTTTAAACGTAGTGATGCATTAAAAGAGGACGGAATGAACTAGTTAAATTTAGTTAAATTTAACTAAATGAATTAGTTAAATTTAGTTAAACGTATGTTTAATTTAAATGTAGTGTTAATAAATTACTTAATTTTTTTGTAATATTAGTTAAATTTAAGTATTAGGTAATTACTTATATTTTGTGAATTATTGTTGTGAATTGTGTGCATATCATTTAATTTAGTGAAAATTAGTTAGTTGATTATTTAGTGAATACTTTTGTTAGTATTATTGTTAGTATTATTGTTAGTATTTGAACGTGTATACTTTTTTATTATAATATTCAGGCATAATGTATAAACAAAATAGAAGTTGGATGTATGATAAAGATGCGGTATTGTACGGAATGCAATCAAATTTTCTCGAGGGAGTTGGGGAATTTATTGAATTTGCACTTGAACATCCGGCTTATATGAGTGGTGATAAAATAAGATGTCCATGTTCAAAGTGTAAAAATCTCAAATTTAAAGACCCACACGAAGTTGGGTATGATTTGTACGCGGTCGGTTTTGTTCCCAATTATTATAATTGGACTTCTCACGGTGAACCTTTGGATCCATCTGTTATACCACAAACGGTAGGTTCGTCTCGTTACGTCCCTCCAGAGATGAGTGCGTGGGGAGACCGTGCTGAAATGAGGTGGGACCAACAAATGGTATATGACACATACGGTGTACCGATGTCTCAGTTCAACCCCCCACAACCACCTAACGACCCCCCTGAAGCCTCAACCTCGTATCAACCAGATGCGGATGAAAATCCGACATTTTATCAACCTTATGTGGATGAAGGTTTGGCTGAGAGATTTCAGGATGTTCTAAAAGCTGCCGACCAACCTCTGTATGCTGATTGTGAGGGATACTCTCAGCTATCCGCCGTTACTGAATTCATGAACATAAAAGCCGAATACAGTCTTCCTGAAACTTGCATGAATAGAGTCTTGCAGTCAGTAGGAGGGATGCTACCGCGAGATCATACCCTTCCGGATTCATATTACCACATGAAGCAGTTAATGTCTAAGTTGGGGCTACCTTGTGTTGAAATTGATGCGTGCCCGGAAGGGTGTATGTTGTTCTGGAAGGAGGATGAGGCACTTGAGTTCTGCAAGTTCTGTGGTGGAGACAGATACAAACCTGTTCGTCAAGGTAAAAAGAAACCACGACATAGGTCTGCACTGTCTAAACTGTATTACCTCCCAATAGCTCCTCGACTGCAGAGGATGTACGCTTCGACTGCTACTGCGAAACACATGACATGGCATGTTGAGCACGAAACCAACGAGGGTATGATGGCTCACCCTTCGGACTGTGAAGCCTGGAGACACTTTGACCGCTGTCATCCTCAGTTTGCTATGGAGCCACGAAATGTGCGGCTGGGATTGTGCTTAGATGGATTTGCTCCTTTTGGCAGGTTTGGCAAGAACTATTCATGTTGGCCGGTCATGTTAACTCCTTACAATCTCCCTCCCGACATGTGCATGAAAAGTCATTTCATATTTTTGTCTTTAATTTGTCCGGGTTCCAAGGATCCTGGGCGAAAGATAGACATTTATCTCCAACCCCTTATCGAGGAGATGAAAGAACTGTGGGCCGTTGGGACACCAACTTATGATGTTTCATCAGATAAAATGTGTATCATGAAAGCTGCCATCATTTGGACCATTAGCGACTTCCCTGCCTATGGCATGCTTTCGGGATGGAGCACACACGGTTTGATGGGATGTCCGATATGTATGGAGAAATCAGGTGCCAACTGGCTTAGTTACAGCAAAAAAGGAAGTTACTTTGATTGTCACCGCAAGTTTCTCCCGGAAAGGCACCGATATCGAAAGGACAAGAAGTCTTTCATTAGAGGCAGAGCGGTACGAGAGAGCCCACCCCCGAGATTGACCGGTGAAGAAATTTATAACCGGGTTTGACGTTTTCCTACGGCTATGGAAGAGCCAAACCAAGAGCCATATGGGCATTGTGATACCCATAAGTGGAGAAAGAGGAGCATATTCTGGGAGTTGCCTTATTGGAAAGACCTTCTCATCCGTCACAATTTAGATGTCATGCACACTGAGAAGAACGTCTTTGACAATATATTTAACACGGTGATGGATTTGAAAGGCAAAACTAAAGACGGTCTTGCAGCTAGGAAAGATATGACTATTTGGTGTGATAGA